GTGGTGCATGTACAACGGACCTTTTCCTTTGGCACAGAAAACCAACTTGTGGCCTGAATGCATATGACGGTTAATCTATGCTATGCATATTTCACAGGCACCGGCGGATTTTTGTGGTGTGATATCTCGAAGAGTTAAATATCTAGTGACAACTCGATGTCTCGTTTTCTTCAGTTACAGTGAAGTGACCCTAAATCCAAAACCAGGAAGGGAAGCTAAACGTGTGGAGAAACTTCAGTTTGGGAGGAATGACTTGATAAGTTCGGGCCCCAGATAGGTGCAGCTACGAAATTTAGAGTCACCTTTATAGTAGTGAAAAGCAAAACTTTCGATATATATCTCTCGTACTGGTAATAATCACAACAGTAAGAGCGAAGTATACAGATATCGTCGCCGGATGTTGCATAACAAAACATGTACTGCAGTATACCGGGTTTATTGTGGCATTCTTGCTGTAAAATGAGTTTTTGTTTAACTTAAGACTTGAGAAGGAGTACCAAGGTCGTCGTGATTTTATCAAGCGATCCTGCAGACTTTCTGAGAGGATATATTACGTTTTTGTGGATATTAAGGATAATGATCAAACCGTTTTAAGTTGACTTTAGGAACTACCATTGGTGTTTCATCAATAAACCTGGTCCAGGCACAAAAATCATTTTCTCACCACCGTCGGTGTTCCGAGAGTAAATTTCTAGAAAACAACCTTGAGATTTATTCACTAAAACAACCAGAGGTTTCGTATATAATCCATTTCCGTCTAGACCTCTCTTCTGCAATCTAACTGAAGATTCAACTGCAATGAATCACTCTTCAAACATTATTTGATCGTGTGAAACCATCGACAACCTGACATGTGGAACTTGAAAATGAACAGTAAGATGTAGAAAAGAATAATACATGGCCTAGCCATGGTTTTTCTTGGGTTACAGTAAACAGGATAGAAGACTTGTAAGCTTTCTTCGTTCAGACTGTAAAACTGACTGTCGAACTCTCTTGTAGCCACACACGTTTCACAGTTAACGGTGTGTGTGAAAAAGTTGGTGTAAAGTGAGTTCTAACCTAAATGAATTCATCGAAAGGTTTGATTCGGACATCATTTCTCAATTTACATGAGTACACAACAATCACGCAAAAATCAGAAGAAATTAAGAACTGTTTACAACGCATAACAAATGACACATCTGGTACATTCACACTGTAATCGGACGACCGTTAATCCTAGGGTCTACAGTTCGTTTTCTTACAGGTGTGACAAATAATGTTAAACTTGTAAGCTGGCAGGCGTAACTAATATGCGTCTGATGGTCAAAATTTACCAGAAGTAGTTGTCTGCGTATCCGGTAAACCTAACCATACAAGTCATTTCAAATGAAGAAATCCTGCCGTAGGAACGGCAGATACTAAAGTTTTCAGTTACCAACTCTCACACTAAACTCGAGTTTTGCTCTCATTAGAGCTTGTCAGTAGTGCATATCCTTCTCACTGCCGGGACTAGAACCCCATCCCCGGTCAGTGTAGCAGTGGTCAACACGGTTGCCTCATGAAAACGTGGCCGAAGCCCTAATCCCATTCGTGGAAAGGAAATGCACTACTGACGAGCTCTAATGAAAGTGAAACTCGAGTCTAGTGCTTCTTTTCGAAAGGGGCCGACTGGAAAGTCTATGGGAATGCGACAGCTGCGATCAACTGTGGATGATGTTCAACTTTTGTGAAAACGAAAATCCCCACTACTTATCAATAACGCTCGCATTATTTACGCTACTTTGCTTGGTAAATTTACCAAACCACCTGGTAACCTGACATCGAATGAACTTCTGTACTTTTCCTATAGTTGCTTGTAGCATCCGTACCTATCTATTGTATCATCTGGGTCAAATAAGTCACAAATAAGTCAGGGCTGGCTTACTGATTGTAAAGGGTAATTTTATTTCGACACTCGGATGTTGGACATCGTTTTGTTTTCTTTCCCATTTAAACGGATGAGGCATTCATACGATTCTGTCACTAAGACGAGTATAGAATCCTTCCGGTTAATAATGATATCCATTATCTCTGTATAACAAAGACATACAATCAGAAATGAGTCAAGTTTCACAAACAGTCATCCATTAGTGTTTAGATGCGCATTGGTCATCGTACATCTGCAGTATATTGTCAACAATGTCAATCCCACATTCAGTTCCGTTGAAGAATAAAATCATTTGAAGGGTTTTCTTATCAGATCATTGAGTATACGAACAACGAAGCAAAACTGAAGGTAGAGAAACAGAGTTCCTGACCTACGTCTAATATTTCGTAAGAATTTAGCCATCTAACTTGTTCCGCTGGAAACAGTTTCCAAAATGACCCAGAAGTTCTGCTTTGGTTTCTATCGGGACTATTTTGTGGTTTAAACATAACTTCCTCATCAGTGGTATACGTCGTTTACTGAGCATGCGTAGTGAGGTCGGAGTGATGAAAATTTCTCAACCGTAACATTGGAATTGTCATGAAATAACTCTTCCATCAGATGAAACAACACGCCTACTGTCGAAGGCCCGTGACTTCACAGACAGAGCCGGGTCTTCTACGCCCTAATACGGCAACATGTATATATTTTCGCCTCTTTATGCACCAACACACACAACTGCATCCCGCACATGCCCAGCATTTTTGCATAAGTGTAACTGGCTACGTCCTGCTTTTCAGGAGTTGCTTGTCAGTCGTGGAGAAGATTGAGAATTGTGGACGGTTCTACATCTACAGTGAACCCCTCGAAAGAACTTCGAATCCAGGCAAACCGATGTTCTTGTCTGTCCTTTGCGGCTGATTTTACTGTCATAGCGAAGGTGTTTCTTCCCCTCACAAAACCAGTCTCCATGACGTGGTATGTCAAATCATCTGAATTTCAGAGATTATGTGCCAAACAGATTCACCGGAATATCCTCTTCCCGACAGTTCTTGAGAAAACTTCAACCAAATAAACACCTTCAACGCCTGTAAAGATATGGTGAATCAGGAGAGTTCCAAATGCTTACTGATATTTCACAGCAAAGTTTAATCGACAGATGTGAGAAAGCTTCACTTGGGTTATGAATCGAGCGAGTATACTTAACAGACCCGGAAAATCTGCGAATACGTGCGCTGTGGGTTTTCGAATATTGCAGAAATTCTTCACTGTATCTGCAGTTTTCACCAAAGCTCATTCTACAAGAGAAGGGCGGGATAACAAAATACACTTACCATTTGGTCTACTGATCGTGTCATCGTTTGTAAAGTTGTTAATTTCTCCAAAATTGAGGACAGTGCAAAATTTATACAAACAGGACAAGAAAAGAAATGCCAGGCTATATCGTTACCTGACTTAGAAGTTGAAAATTTTACAAAATTGTCCAGCTAATCGTTCTGTTAGGTAAGTACTTGATCAAACTGACACTCACACGTCCGCAGTCTGTTACACTACTACGATTCTGGCTCATTAACCGCTGACCCAGTAGTTAAACACATTTCGGATAAAGATCACTAGCCGTTTTAATTGTTTGTGCTAAGCTGTCATCATTGTCTGCGATAATCATAAAATGTCAACCTTTTGAAATCTCTTAAGTGTTTCTGTTTCCCGCCAGTAATAAAGACTGAGAGTTAACGAGCGGATTCAATGCTGAAGATCTCACTGGGTTGCTACATGTAAACATCGATAACATGTAAATATGAGAATGGTAGACCATTTCAAGTTCAGACGATGTCGAGGTCACCCGTGGAGATGAGCTATTAACATGGTGTGTTTGCATGCAACGTGTATTAATTTTTAGACGCAAATAGCCAAGACCAATAAAAACCCGCACATGTGCGCCTCAACACCAATAGATGGTCTTTGCAAAGGTGACCACCTACTACAAATTGGTTGATCTGTAAGCTGCATCGATCAGTCGTCTGTCAGGTAATCGTCGATTACACAAATGGAGGAAAATATGGCTGACGTCCTATGTTCTGATAGCCCCACCTTGAAGATCAAACAAAAAACAGAAAAGTAGTCAGAGTAAACTCTTGCAATATAAATTTTTGTAGCCATCTCTAACCAGATATAAAGAGATAATTTAAGACAGTTATATCCCTCCGGTAATTTGAACAACACACGGAGAAAGCAAACACCAACAACCAGTGCTTGTCTTCTAACTGTTTTGATCAAAACAGCTAGTCGTCGATTGTGTACAGAAGCAAACAAACCATTAATCTGGAGTACATCCACTTGTGTTGACGAACGGTCATAAGTATCCGTCATTTCGCCACCTGTTTATCCGGTGTCACTTAACCTCAGGATGTGCAAAATACCGAACTATCTGTCATTTTCCAGAAGTTCATGAATACTTCGTTACCTAGGCAGTCTAGTCCATTCGACTATCCTCTTAAAACATATGGATAACTCGACCCCCATTTTTTCGTTCACTGTGATATACGTCAGTAGTCAGTGACTGAAACACTGACTCAATCAGCCGATTCATATGCGTGACCAACACTGAGCAATCGGCTATTTATCACGTGATAGATTGCTGCTCAACCCTATACTACCTTGTAGATGAAACCCAATTGTGGAAAATCTGGGCTTCGGCTGCATTCGAGCCAGCCCCAGAAACAGCACGCCCAAATGCGACAAGTGCTCTACCAGCTAAACCACGAAGCCTTGCCGCGAGTTCAAAAATTTCACATTTGGAATTACTTGCCCGCCCAGTCCACTGTGTCATACGAAATCCACCAAATGATCCAACAGACTGACTGCCGCGACAGAATTTCCTAACAGTTCACGCTGTTGGAATTGGGTTTCATTTAAATTACGAAATCTACTACACTATTTCGAAGTTATGCACTTTCAATGCTCAACGGTGAAGCTGATAGATTCCAGCGTGAATCGGTCGAGAAATGCTGTCGCGGCAGTCAGTCTGTTGGATCGTTTGATGGATTTCATATGGCCTAGTGAATCGGACGGGTAAATGAGTCCACATTTGAAAGTTCTGAACTCCCGATATGGCTTCGTAGCTCAGCTGGTAGAGCACCTGTCGCATTTGGGCATGCTGTTTCTGGGGCTGGTTCGAATGCAGCCGAAGCCCAGATTTTTCACAATTGGATCTCATTTAAATTATGAAATCTGCCACGTTACTTCTATTCTACAATCGTCGGGCGAAAGCGCAAAAGGACTCAACCCAGTTTTAAATAGCAAACTTTCGCGGATGAAAGACAATTACCGTGAAAACTGCCTGTAAAAAACAAGTTACCAACACAAACGCCAGCGGTTTCTAATGTTCCAATTTGTTTGAAGTATTTTGCATGATGTGTGACTCTGAGAAGTGTTTGATTTCATTTTCATACAAAGGTCGATATTTTGGAGACAACAAGGTTAGAATTAGGCTAACACTTTTTATTATGTTGTTTTGCCTGTTTTGCCTGCTAAACATATTGGATATCAGTTCACATACAATTTCTCGATATACTATCATCTTCCATAGCACTTAAGCATTCACGGTTGAACAAAAACCAAGACTAAATATACGTCGACTGACGAAATTTGTACGTTAGCTTATTGCAGCTAATCCTGTTATGCTACAGAAGAATCGATCAGTTATTTTACCTTGGACCTCAGGTCGACCTTGAATGATCCAGAGAAACAGAGCGAGTGCGGCAGTCACGTTCATTTCAATTCCATTTTTGTTGTACCGGTATGCGTCGTTTGTTGTTGTAGTCGTATCACATTGGCCGTATCCGCACAAATTAAATCAAGACAGGTTGATCGTCGAGCCACAAGAACATACTGTTCAATTAATAGATCCCGTCCGAAACCAATCAGTTGTCCAGGTTGTTAACGATCGATTAAGCAAATTGTAGCAGCCAGCGGTCTCCTAATCGGAATAACATTACAACCAAATTGAGAAGGTACTGTTATGAAGTGATTAAATCAATTTACTAATCTAATCTGATTGTGATCGTTTGTGAGGTCGAGCGCCGAGTGGGTGAAAAGAAAACTGAACACAGGTGGACAGAAAGTACAGTTTAAAGGCAAGTTTAAATGAGAGTCCAATGAAACAGAGAAACCGTTTGTAGTTAGCCTATTAAACTAACTTCTAATTAATCCAATGGGGAAAAGAATACAGGAACAAAAGACCAAACGAACTCTGAGAACACTACCACTTCGAGGGCTAACGAGACAGCTTCTTATCCTTTACAACCACAAAAATAATTGTAATAAAATGTCAGTTGCTCACTGATAACTTGTTCCTGCCACAACTAGGAGAGTGCAAGAATGACAAATAGTGAACGGTTACGATCGGTGTTTTATGGCAACAACCGCCTTGTTATTTCGAACAAGACATCGATTGGCTGACATAAATGAGTACAGCAGGCCATAGCATGGTTGTACTGTGGTTGATGTAGGCTGCTTGTAAGCGTTGCTGGTGAGAACGATTGACGGTGGATCACCTACATTATTAATATTATTAATGTTACTGATGATATTTTGATCTCAAGCCTTAGTAATGTTGCCTAAACACACTCCAATTTCACCAGGTTGAACGAGTCCATGACACTGAATCACAGGACTGGACAAATATATTCAGTTTGTTCAGTGAGTAAAGCTCTCAACGTGTGGGGTACTTGAATAGAATGGAAAACTGTGGTGAAAATCTACTCCATCCACCGTTTATGCAAACCCCGACACAATAGAAGATCTAACAGTGGGTCAATCCCAACGTCGCGTTGAAGATACTACATCAGACTTGGACAAACAGTCTCAACGTTATTCCACTAATGTCTTTGTTCACTATTGCGCCAATTAACGTTCATTTTGTGACTTTGTATGTGCTAACATGACCAACCAATGGTAGACTATGATTTCTTTAATACTGTTGTACATCCATAA